TTTCGTTACATAAATTATTAAGTTTACTTTTATATTAAAGACGGATGTTAAAATAAACTTTTATGATGTACTTAATTAATAATTATTATAAGTATTTTTTTATAATTCTGTGTAATTATTAACTACTAGCTGTTTCCCACGACTTCGCCCGCCTGTAATTTAGGGTTTTATTTTATTTTTTGCGCGGAACCCAAATAATTTTTCTTAAATAAAAGTAGCCTATGTTACTCCTTATAACATCTGGCAGTTAGCTGATGTTATAAGGAGTAACATAGGCTACTTTTATTTAAGAAAAATTATTTGGGTTCCGCGCAAAAAATAAAATAAAACCCTAAATTACAGGCGGGCGAAGTCGTGGGAAACAGCTAGTAGTTAATAATTACACAGTAGTTAATAGTTATATGCTAGATAGCCTATACTATTCCTAATGAATCTGGCTATTATATACAAAAAATTTAAATTTGAACTGGTAGTTCCAGAGACTAGCGCGTTTAAACAAACAAAATAACTCTTCCGCTATATTATATTAGTATAGATTAAATGATTCTGTTTTTTTGTTTCTGTTTCCGATTCTGTTTTGTAAATATTAAAGGTAATAATTATATAAAAAATAAAACAGCCATTATATACTCCGTGTCCTCGTTTTTTATTTTACCAGCAAAACATTTTATAAAATATAAATAGGTAAATACTTAATTAAGTATCTACCTATTTATATTTGATTAACATTAACATTATGTTGAAAAAGAAATAAATTCCGGGGAAATTTTATATGGCATTAAATATTTTTCTCCAAAGGTCAATAATATAACTTTCCGATTTGATCCTTAGAGAAAATTGTTTCATTTTATCGGTAGACTTACCTCGTCTCTGCGGATATTATTGCAATTTTGCACATTTTGAATTAAAGTCCAACAAAAGGCAAGTGGTGCCGGTGAAAGAATTTCCACTGCCCAATATCGTCCCATGTGTGTCATAAAAGGCGACAAAGAGAAACTGAAAGAGGCGATGGGCAGCAGCATCGTCCTGATAACAACTCGAAATAACAAAAAACTGTGGTTGACAAACCGCTGGCCAAGCGATGGCAAATATGAGGCAATCTATAGGGAGGCCCATGTTGGGCAGTGGATTTTTATAGGCTGAAATGGATGATGGATGATAGAAAAGGCAGGTGGGTGCACCTTATTCCCGGTAACATGTTATTTGAATATTTTTAGTTATTTTAAAACTATCATGGTAAAAATTCAGTTAATTTTTAATAAAATAGTTTAATGCACAAAAATTACTCATTTCTGTGCACTTAACTATTTTTTTAGTCTTTATATCGGTTTCTGAACAATAATTTTTCGATAGCCCTTTTAAGTAAAATGCACATCACTAGCCAACTCACACAATAACAAATCAAAATTGGTCACGCGTTTTCGGGCTGTCAGGTCGTCTATACGCCAGTATATCCTAAGTCTATGGTTACAACACAAAGAAACTGTGAAGCAACTGCAATCAGATGCTGACATCTGAAACTAAGTTGCGAAATACATTGCACTTTAAAACAATTAATGATATTTTAATTGTTCGTACAGTACCGACTACTGTTGACAGCAATTGCCATAATTATAAGTCAATGTCCTGCGAAGTATTGATACATCAAAAAAATATTGCCAGAAAAAACTTAATGTTGTTTTCTTTATTATGATTATATTTTCTTGAATTATAAATTATAATAAAATATACAAACTTTGTTTTATTTAGCGTGAAATTTAGCGCGAAATCTAGGGCTAATAAAGCGCTGTTTTCATGAAATCTAGCGCTTTTTGTGTTGTCCTAGCGCTGAATGAGTTTTTTGATCTGGCAGCACTGTGTCACGGTGTATAGCCAGTCCATATATAGAGGTCAGTGGAATTTCAGTCTACTACAGAATATTTACGTATAATTATGCTACAGTGAGATTCAACCTCATACAGAATCTCATTAAGCAAATGAAGAGTATACAACGATTCGATAATTGTTAATTATAACCATCAATATCGGTTAAGTGAACTGAACATATTTATTCATAACTGAACTATTCCGTGAAGTGAACATGTGAACATTGTGTACAATAAGACTTATGTTAATGTACGGGAATGTTCAATTCACGGAAACACTATAGGACCACATGCGGAGGTGTAAAAAATATCCCTTCAATAATTAACGTTTATAGCCGTGTAACTAAAGCAAAACTAATATCAATTTGTCTTGTTCTTTTCTTTAATATTTTATTAATTCAATCTTCTATAATTTCAATCTTATCTGTTTAGAACTCTTCAAAGTTTTAAATCACAACCGTGTTTGGAACTTTGATTTATTATTACAACAAACAAATAATTTAAAACAAAGGCTGCTGGATTATTGGTGGAAACTTGCCAATTCCTGTTTAATCGCTTACATAATGGTTTGAAATAGATTTGAAACATAAAAGTTATGCGACTTTTGATAATAAGCTATGAGCATGAAAATTTGTATTAGAAACAACGAAAATGTTCTCTAATATAGTTATAAACTAAATAAACTTAATATATTTTGTCCACTTAAGCACCTGAAGAACTTGACATACTATCGTCATCGACTTTCGGCAGTTTTAAACTGTCATCAAAAACTCCCAAGAACTTTGTAATGTGATGCATCAGAATATTGTGAAGAAGTTTTTGAAACAAAATTATTTTATAGGATAATGTCTTATTACTTGACAGTGGCAAAGGTATCACCATACGAGTCCATATACAAATTAAAAAAAACAAAGGCGCCAACAAAATCCCACATAATAAATAACAATGCAGTATTTGAACGAAAATTACCTTTTATGTATACTCTAAACATGAAGCAATTTTGTATGTATAAATATAAAATACAAATATCATGCCTTCTCTATATTATGGTATGGCAGCACTGTTTTTAAGAGCATAAGCAAATTTTCCTTCTTTTTTTTTGGAGTTTATGGCCTGGCATCTAGACCTTTAGGCCAAAAACAAATTTTCCTTCGCTTCGTCAGTGTTGCCAACCGTACGATTTAAATCGTACTCATACGATCTTTTTGGCCCTAGTACGATGTACAATCATGTATTCGAAATCGTACGCAAAATATACGATCTTTTCAAATCTTGTAATCTTTATAACAAAATAAAAATAATAATTGATTAAGTTCATTTTATCGATAAGAAAAATCAATAATTTCAAAATTGAACGAGGTCTAAACATCTTCATTGTAATTTTTCATGAACGCATCCAATCCAATAATTTTTTAAACTCTCTATTCTTCGCAAAGTTTAAGGAAAAAGCTACAGGGTAGCCCTCGAAATTCAAATTTTCTTACGTTTTTTACAATTTGCAGGTCAGTGTCAGGTTATATGTTTAACAAAATATGATTCGCGGTCGTAGCGTGTAATGCGTTTACTGAATTATAATCATTATAATCGTCAATACAACCCTCTAAGTTCGTATAATGCCATTGTATGGCTATTTCCAGAAAAACTCAGTCAAAGGGATTTTTACCTTAACCGCCGGAAGCTTTCACCGTAACCGCCTTTCTTCGAGTTTGTTTTAGATCATTCTATTCGTTCTAATCCAAATAATATTAAACTACCTACGCAGATAATCATATATTATGGCTCCAGTACACGTTGGCCGAACGCAATCAATGAACAATGAATCAATATTTCACTCCATAATTATTAAATCGTAATGTGTTGGTATGCATATAAATAACATTAAAAATATATTATATTGAATTATATATTTTTTCATAATATATGATATATATATATATATATATATATATATATATATATATATATATATGTACACATGCGTATATATATATATATATATATATATATACACACATGCGTATATATATATATATTTGTATTGTATATGTATATTTATGTAAGTGCACACTTTGACTACCTCTATTTCCTTCAACTATCCTTCAATAGGCCTGCTGGAAGAAATTTCATCATGGAATAGGCAGTGCCTTTGTACATAATTATGTTTTTACCATTTTCCTATCGAATTATGTGTGTACATAAACTGTTAAATAAATAAATAAATATTTCCTCATTAGTCCATGTCGCCATGTTGAAACAATTTTATTAAGCAGACACTATAGTCTACTCCGACGCGTAACTATGAACTGAACACTCGGCCAACGTGTGAACACTGTTTGCGGCTTGCGCCAAATTCCTTTGATTTGTGCACGGAAAACCGACACTATACGGCTCGTCGGCGAGCGTTGGCCGCATACGACAAATATATACAAAACGGCCCAGTACACGTTGGCCGAGCCCACTCGGCGAGCGCGCTCGGCCAACGTGTACTGGAGCCATTACATATTTTTGTAGTAGATGGCAGAGTGAAAACAGTCCGAGCCCATTATTTTTTTAATAAAAAAAAGTAGGAAAGTTTAGTGTCAGATTCTTAAATGTTATATGGTTATAAGTACTCTAAATGTAAAATTTTGCTTTGACGTTATAATAATATTATTTTGTATTTTTTACCATTATTTTATTGAAATATTGATGCGTACTATCTTTTTTGTTGAGTTCTTAGCAAAATACGATCTTTTTCACTTTATGGTACGATCTCCTAAAAATTAAAGTTGGCAACCCTTCGCTTCGTCCATGGTGAATTGGTGAATACTGAATAGGTGTAATGAAAAGAAAATACATACTAAAACTCTTTGTTTTAAATATGTTGCATTGTGTATTTTAGTGTATCCGTTATATAAACAATAAATCTACTGGACTTAGTCGTTTCTTAAAATAGCAAAAGCAATAGTAAATGTATAAATGAGAAAATGTTATTGTGTTCTGAGTTTTATAATGGCGGCCCGTCGCGTCCCCCGCGCCTCCATTTCGTTGACAGTCTGATATGACAATGCAGAGCCGTAAAAATGTAAAAGTTGTTATGTTTTTGTAAATAACCTAGTGTTGGACATTAATTATAGGAGTGTAATAGGCTTAAAAATGAATCCCGAACACCATAACATCAATACAGGTGGCGGTCAACCTGGTAATTCAGAGGTGCATATGCTTTCAATATTATTACATTTATTTTCTTTCCAATATTTTCTTGATATAATAAAAGTGATAATATTTACAGGCACAAAATCAAAGGGTTTCATCTGCTCAACAACAACAACAGTCGACCAATAATTTGACTCCCACAACTTCTGCTACCGATTTGCGAGTTAACTCGGCTGCTGTAAATGTAGCTTTGTCAAGCGTCGCGAAATATTGGGTGTTCACAAATTTATTTCCCGGTCCTATACCTCAAGTTTCTGTATATGGCTTACCTACCAACACAAGAATTGAAAATGGAAAACCTGTGCAGGTATTAAATAATCTTACTCATCATCCAAATAGTGATTATTCAAATGATACTGTTTATATGTTTATTTTTAAAGAGTTCTCATAGTTCAGATAGATTTTGAAATTATGAATATTATTAATTATTTATCTTATTTTAGGACCTTGGCCAAGCTCATGCAGGTCTTCTGAATGGTGATCCAAACCTTATACTTGGTCAACATGCAGGACAACCACAATTATCTGTATCTGGACCTGGTGGTCAACAAATACCTGTGACACAAATAATTGCAACACAGTTGCAATCTGGGCAGACTCATGGTAATTTTCAACCTTTATTTCCATAAGTAATTTTAGCTTACCAAATAAATAAATCATTATTCAATTATATACTATACAATATTATGTGGTAGAACTATCTTTTTTAAAAGTCCATCTTTGTAGGTACCTCTGACTGTGTGTTGTGTATGTGTATGTGTGTGTGTTACTAGTATGAAAGATAGTTAAAACTAGTAAAATTACAGGCTGAACATTCTATCTTAGTCCTTAGAGATGACAATTTATATGTTATTGTTTGAATTTGGTGCATTTGGATATCCATGAGCTGGAGTAGCCACTCACAATCATGTGAATTATTTAATGTTATAAATACAAATGCTAACTTAATATCCATCATAAAAGTATTGTTTTGATAATGTTGATTTTCTATCATTATTTTTTAGAGTCACTGGTGGCTCACAATCAGCAACAAGATCTTACTTCTCAGCAAGGCTCAGGCAATGGATCACAGGTCTCGGTTAACAATGGCCAGCCCTCTCATCAGCAGGTACCCAATAATCGGGTCGAGTTTATACAACACCATAACATTGATATGGTAAATCATGTGGTAACCCATTCCATTTACTAGCAGGAATGCTAAAAGTATTTTGCTGTTGTGTAGAAAATAGAATTAATACAATGTTTTGTGTATGAGGTCAGTATTATAAGTGCATGTACCTCAAGACTATGTTTTAGGTTTCTAAAAAACTATATAGTTAAATTCCTTATTTATGGTTTATTTCTTGTACCGAAAAAAAGAAACTGAAAGCTATTTTGCATGCTAGAAATCAGTACTATACTATTTTTATCAGCATGAAAAATAAAAAGTCAAATGAATTCTAAAATTTACTTCTTACTTAATAAAGCATTATAAAATAAATTCAACCTTTTAATTATTTTTTGTATTTTGCATAGTGTCATTATTATTTTAAAAAATGCTTATTTTGTTTTTACTTCTTATAGAATGTGGAATTTATTATGAAAAACTATATCTGTTTAGGGGCATCATTCACAACAGCATTCATTGCAGCAACAACTTATGGCAGCCACTCGTCCAGAGCATGCAAATCAACAGGTATTGTTTGATATTTACTTTTTTTTTAAATTGTTTATATTCTGCACTTGAAATACATATATTACTTTACTTCACGCTGCTTGATAAATCACAAATCAACAGGTCAGTGAGGTAAGTTTGCTAAAAAAATACTATATATTTTTAATGCTTTGTTATTATAGCAATATTACACGCAACATAAAGGTGTTTATACACTTTCATTCACTTCTTTACCTTCATTTTAATTTTTCTTATAGATGAACTTGTTTCATTCACGGATATAATTATTTCACTTTTTAAAAACTATTTATAGTATATAGTCTCAACATGGTCTCAAGAGCCATGCTGCAACTGTATTAATTGTATAGTTGTAGCACAAATGGTTCTGCTTGTCCGGGGAAAGACCACGCTCTCACAAAATACATGTGTAAAATAGCAATTTTTACACCACTGTTTCGTATTGTGTGTGTGGAGAACTGGAGACCTCTTTTACTGGAAAAGAGGCATTCCATCTTAGTCTTCATGGTTTACAACGCATCTGCATTTTGATATGCAAACGAGGATAGATGTTGATGTCTGTGGGCCACAGCATCCACTTACCATCAAGTGAACTGTGTGCTCGCTTGTCACCCTAATCCTATAAAAACAGTTTTAACCTACTATAGATATTCTATTTCATGATGAAGGCTTAACTTTGATTGTTGTTAGCCGTGCACATACACATTGTGTTTGTGTGCATAAGCTGCGGGCGCTGGGGAGTAGCGCTCCTGAGGCCTATGCACACTAACACAATGTGTATATGCATGACTAACAACAACCAAAGTTAAACCTTCATTGTGAAATAGAATAACTATACTACTTTACCTTACTAACTACATGGCGGTGTAAGAGAATCCACTTCTGTAGGTATCATAAGATGCAGCAAAAGTAAATGAAACAGGATGGGCAGTAGTAGCATCTTCCTTAAAACAACTTTAAGAATGAATAAAAACTGCATTTGGTAACTCAGCTGCCAAGCATGATACTATCCATATGTGGCTTCTCTATCATTGCATAGAGAAATTGTGAAGTAGTTGTGTTCATAAAATACTCACTATAGGGAATTAAGAAGATAAATAGAATTAAATATAATTAGGACATAACAATTACTCCATTTGCCAACTTTGTCTTTTCATGATACACTCTGATTGCTAAAATAATTAGAATGGTAATCCAAAAGATGCAATGTATCCATTCGAAAATGTCAAATCCAAATCCCTAAGACAGCGTGAGGATGATGGAAAGTGGAGTTGCGAGTGCAAGGGCATCACCTCTGAACTCTCCCACCTGCTGCCCAGATGGTACTTAAAAGAAAAGCTTGTATAAATAAATGCTAATAAAAATGATACAATGTCAAACATACTATAACTAACAGTACATTTAATTTTATTGTTTTCAACAAGTTTTCTTTTGTGTTATTGTACAAATGCAGCATCTTAAAATAGTGTTAAATTTTAACAGATTCAGCTAACTGTAAGTGAAGATGGCATTGTAACTGTGGTAGAGCCCGGTGGAAGCAAGCTTGTTGATAAAGATGAACTACATGAAGCTATTAAAATGCCGACAGACCATACCTTGACAGTTCATCAGTTACAACAAATTGTTGGCCATCATCAGGTATAACTTTATAAATCAATAGTGTCACAATGTATTTTTCATTAATAGATAAAGCCTTCAGTTTTACCAAAATATAGGTACTTAACTAAAATGTTGTTATGTAAGTTTTATTGTTTCCTGTTTCATAACTCTCATAGAATTAGAAGAGGTGCAGTGCCCAGTTGCGGCATGATTGTAGGATATTATATAATATATGAAATTAAGCAAGTGAAACCATAAGATATTTTATTATTCAACCTTTATAATAAACTACTTGACTATAATTTCTGGGCAATATTCATTTGCATTTGCCTTACGCAATAATATTTACGGTTTAAAAAAAGGAAATTATGCTTTTCTTATTTACATCATATTTTGTTTAAGTCTAGGGACATATTGTCTGATAGTATGTACCGATGAGATAGAGGTTTGTTAACACCTTTTTTTTCTTCAGGTAATTGATAGTGTGGTTCGCATCGAGCAAGCAACTGGAGAACCAGCAAATATACTTGTTACACAGAATCCTGATGGAACAACTTCAATAGAAACAAGTGCTGCAGAACAGCTTATAGTGAAAGATGAGAAAAATGTAGGGAAAATTGAATCTGCCCAATTCGCAATACCTACAGATATAAAAGATATCAAGGGTATTGACCTAAAGGTGATTTGCTTTTTTCTAATAAATCTATGAAAAGTATATAGATAAAAAAAAACATGGAAGAATAATTATAGAGAATATTTTTTCCTCTGTAAAACACAGACCAAATTGCAATAAAATTGTGATAGACAACAAATATATTTATTTTTTATTGTTACAATATTTTAGAATTTTGTGTAAAAAGACATTTGTAGAGAAAATGTAGCAAAGATATATGTAAGCTTTATTTTCATTTTTAGATATTATAGTGAAAAAATATTATTAAGAAAATATAAAATATTCATATTACCAATATTATTCTCCTAATCAATTTATTTTAATTAATTCTTAATCTGACTTCAGAGTGTAGGGGCAATGGGCATGGAAGGTGCTGTGGTAAAGATCTCTGCAGGTGCCTCAGAACATGATCTTCATGCAATGTACAAAGTAAATGTGGAGGATCTTTCACAACTGCTGGCATACCATGAAGTATTCGGTAAATTGAATACCGAAAATCAACAGCAAGCCAAGGTAAGTAAAATTGTAGATTAACACAAGTGGTAAAATTAATAATTTTGTACAACCAACTTCAATATAAATGAGAACATCAATGTAGTTGCAGTCAATTAAATAGACATTATTAAAGATAACTGAAAAACTACTGGTCAGGTCTTGATCAAATTTATATGGGATCACATGAAACACACCAGCTTTCAAAAAAAAAAAGAATCATCATAATCAGTTTACATAGAAAAAAAGTTCTGAGGTAACACACATTACAAAAATACAGTCGAATTGAGTACCTCCTCCTTTTTAAGTCGATTTAAAATCACTATGTAAAGAAACTATGAAAGTAAAATCAGAAATACATGGTACTATAGAAATAGGTTTGCCTAGAGTGAGCTCTTATTAGGCTTTTTGTCCATGAAATAGAAGAATGACTGGACACATACAACCCCTGTCTCTCCTTGATGAATCAAAATTAGTATTCTTACTCTTATATGTATGGATAAAAAAAATAAAAATGGTAGTCTGGGCCTAATTATCTAGCTAAATATATGTGTGGTCTTTCTATTAAGTGTGTGAAAAACCCAAAATAACAAACACAATGGTATATTATTGAATGTAATGTATAAATATAAAATATGTTTTAGTGATTACAACATTGAATGACTTTATGTAAATGGAAAAGACATTAAAATTATTTTACGATGGCGTGACTTAGAAGTCGTAGTGTCTAATTACTGATAACAGATTCTGAGCTGGAACTCCAACTATATGCCACAAAAATATTTTATTATTGCTCAAATGTGTATATATATATATATATACATGTAAATGTATGAACACATTATTTTAGTTACTATAAATTTAAAAAAGTAGTAAACATGAAGTTATAAATATTCAATTTGTTATCAAAACAAAATATAAATTAGAAATTGTTTAGTAGTTAACATAACAGAAGAGAAATAGTATATAATAAAGTTAAACTAAGTATAATTTTTTTTTAAATTAAGATTGTGTTTATGTTAAGTAAAGCAATTTTGTCATACTCAGAATATTATGTTCAAAGTTTTCACTGACACATTTTATAAACATTTATACAATCTTATTAAAGTAACATTTCAAACATGGCATTACTTAAAAGTATACTTTTTTCTAGGTTATAAGTGAAGTGGGAGTAGAGGCCGGTACTAGTGCTACCATATCAGAAACAGACTCCTCTCCTGGCCATCATTCCTGTGACATTTGTGGAAAAATATTTCAATTTCGTTACCAACTTATTGTTCACAGGTAATAATTATTTATTCAGTATAATTTTTTCAATCAATATTCATTAATATATTTTTAATAATTTTTCATCAAGATGATGTTTTCCCCCAGATTTATTACAAGTAGGTTCAATATTACAAAAGCTGTTAAATTGATACACATACAGAAAATGTTATATATATTTAGAGTAACTTTTCAAAGAATTTACATAGGTCTTTCAATTTTAGATTTGTACTGACTGCAAAATAAAATGCAAACTATTTAATTGTCATAATACTTCTTTAAAACCTTTTAAGTTATTAAGAAACTATACAGGCATCTAACAAATTAAATGTCAATACCAGTTTATCTATTTTAACATAATATAATGAATTACTTTAAATATTTTTTTTTTATATTTATTAAAAAGAAATTAAATGCAGTTACAATAAAATAACATTCATTCATTCACTCACTCACTCATCTTTTCGCCATCAGTACATTATGTAGTTGTGTAAAGTCCACAGCTGAGCATAGGCCTCTCCCATAGATTGCCTCAATGGAAGGGATATTTGCCATAGTTGCCACGCTTGGTAACTGTGTTGGCAACCACAGTTTTTTTATTATTATTATGAGTTGTTATTAGATAGATACTGTTGCCGATTTCTTGTTTTATTAACATATGTCGCCTCTTACAACACCCACAGGATGAGATGATATGGGGTAGTAGATATTCTTACGCTGCCACTACATAGTGGGTATCAGTTCACCTCAACTCAAATGTGATATCTATCCCCAAACTGGATCTTGTTTGTTATTTTACTGTTATATATGTTGAAAATATAATGTTTTGTATATGTTTTTTTAACAGATAACTGCAGTTTTCGATGTTGATGCTAAAATTAATTTTAAATGTTCATAATGAAAAGCACCAATATAATTTTGTTTTTGCACAGACGATATCATGGTGAAAGTAAGCCCTACACATGTCAAGTATGTGGCTCTGCATTTGCTAATGCAGTTGAACTATCGCGTCATGGAAAATGTCACCTAGGTAATATTTATAAAAAAATTCTTCAGCACTAATATATAATATCGACTTCCAGGATTATGTTACAAAACTCATATTCAAGGAGCTCAGTGCTCACCTTAAATTTCACACAGTACGCAAGCAACTCGGATTCTATACATGCCGTCACCAATGAAATTCATGGAAATGTTGTGAAGAAATGTCTGAAGAATAAAAATATTTCAAAGTCATATGATGAAGTCCATGCACTGTAGCAGCGAAACAGACTAGTTGCTCCATAGTCCTCTCTGAAATAAAAAGACATACTTAACTTTACAAGGATCAATGAAAATCGTGGAAATTGTAAATTACTAAACAAGAAAAGTCAAAATATTTCGATTGTTGCCATCCTATAATGCCTGCTCCGTGAGTAACTATGCCAGCAAAATGATTGATTACGGTAAATCCTTCAATACCATGGAAGATGCTCATGTCCAGCAGTAGATTCTAGAGTGTCTGTGAAATAATATGTTGAAGTTCCACACTTTTACAGTGTAACTCTAGTGCAAGTGTAAGAATATCCACTATATCTTGCTGTAGGTGTCGTAAAAGGCCACAGAAGGAAATAAACCAGGAGACGGGCAGCAGCATCTTAACAGCTAGAAAAAAAATTGCAGTTGCCAACCCACTCGCCAAACGTAACAACTATGGCAAGTAACCTACTTGTGAGCCAATCTATGGGGAGACCTATGTTCAGCAGTGGGCTTTGATAGGCTGTAATGATGATGATGATGTACACTTTACTACTTTAAGGGCAAGCCATAAAGTTCAAAGAACCGACAAACCATGGGAAAAAAAGTTCTTGAGTGGTTTGTTATTGGATATCTAGATAGAGTGACAACCTGAGACAAAATGCAGGCAGTCGAGGCATGCAGGTGGCTCAAGACCGTGCTTCTGAATTATTTCTTGCAGCACACTTATGTTCTGCAGTGGACTTGTGAATGATGATGATGATAATGATGTACACCCTTACATTACTTAAAAAAAATATAATACATATTAAATTAATTGCAATCTTAAAAATTATTTTCCTATACCTGGAGACCCTGCTGACAGACAATACATATTGAATTAATTGCAATCTTAAAAATTATTTTCCTATAGCTGGAGACCCTGCTGAGAGACAAGCAAAAAAATTAACACAAGACAAACCCTACGCATGCACAACTTGCCACAAAACTTTCTCCCGAAAGGAGCATCTGGACAACCATGTTCGAAGTCACACTGGAGAGACACCTTATAGGTAATGCTGATATCAACTTAAACAAAATAAATGCAGTCCATTTCATGTGAAATTATTATATTGACCCATAGATGACAGCTTCATTAATTGTCAGTAAACACCATGTAGTGGCAATGTAAGAATCTCCACTAACCCATATTGTTCCGTGGGTGGGTGTAAGAAGCGACAGAGGAAAATTGTAATAGATTTTGTCAACCCGCTTGGCAAGCGCGGCAACTATGGCAAAACTCATCCTATGAGGGAGGCCTATGTTCAACAATGGACTTTAGGATGTAAAGGGTAAACAATCAAGGTTCCTGTTTTAAGGATACAATTACAAGATATAAGATATTATTCCATCTTAGTCCTCAGAGATCACAATGCAAATAACACCTTTTGCATTTAAGTTGGTTGCAGGTGTCCACGTGCTGCAATAGTCACTTACCATCAGTTAGGCAGCTGTGAGAAAAATACAATGCCTTATTTCAAGTATTATAAACTGTTTCAGTCAAGTCTCTCACCATACAAAACAGAACAGTATGTTCTGTTATCCTATGAAAGTGTGATCCTTTCTTAGTCAGACCAACTGAATTTAACCAAATGCCTCTACCATGTATATTTATACATTAGGATTTATATCAATTTTTCTATGTATTTTTGTATCTGGTAATAAAAATACTAGATGATAGGACTTCTTTCCTGCCTTATGAGGCCAACTGCATAGGTATCCTCTGACCTATTTCTGCTGGCAAGTAGCTGTTTTCTTGTTTATGTCTAATCTGCTAATAAACTGGCGCCATTTTGTAATGTCATTGTCGACGTCAATAGGGATGTCGATTCTTTCCGAAAAAGGTCGATTTTTAAATCGATTCAAATCGTAAGCTGATGTATCGATTCCTAAAAAATCGATTTCTAAAATATCGATTTTTTTTTTCATGTTTACATTTATAATGTAAATATAAATCCATTTTATGAGAAAAAAATCCCCTTCATCATAAAAAATAAGGGGACTGATTCATACGGATTTCTGTATCTATTTTGAGACTGCTACGTCTCCGGCGCTGCGGGAAGAGCAACCTCTACGCCTTAGCGTAACAAATCGTAGGCATCGGACGAGCCGGAGCGGCTGAGGCTGGTCGCCGAAGGCGACCAACAAGCCGAAGCTGCGGAGGCGAGGCGGAGGCTGCTCCCCCTACGCGCCTCCGGCTCTATAAAACCACTCTAGGGGTAGGACAGACTCGTACCAGGTGGAGTCGGGGTCAATCAATTCGGTTCTTTGACATAAGTTGAACCTAACCTATTTTATTTAGATGCCCTAATAGGTACTGTTAAATAAAACAAATTTCAATAAGAGATCATTTATCATGTATCTTTCTTGTTTTTCATAAAATGGGTTTATATTTACATTATAAATAGAAACATTAAAAAAATATAGACATTTTAGAAATCGATTTTTTGTGAACCGATACATCAGCTTACGATTTGAATCGATTTAAAAATCGACCTTTTTCGGAAAGAATCGATATCCCTATTGACGTCGACAATGACATTACAAAATGGCGCCAGTTTATTAGCAAATTAGACGTAAACATTGCAAGAATAATTGATTTTCAATTATTCTTTTCTCAAAAACTACGCGTTTCCGTATATTGAGACATTGTGTGTGTGCTTATAATAGTTTAATCTTTCTGTAAAAATACGTATCAACACCAAACTCCACTGACGTCAATGGAAAGCTAAGCCAAAATATTATTTTGTCTTTCATAGTAATAAAACTATTGTTTCGTGTTTTAGACTTTAATGTCTCTTTGTATTTTGTAGTTAATAAGGCCAGCTGTAACTTACTCATATAGGAAATAAAAAAATTCATGCAGTACTTCTTGGATCTTGCATACTCGAATATACCAATTTAATAATTATCTTTGTGTTCTTAGGTGTCAGTTTTGTGCAAAGACATTCACCCGTAAGGAGCATATGGTGAATCACGTTAGGAAGCATACTGGTGAAACCCCACATCGTTGTGACATCTGCAAGAAGAGCTTCACCAGGAAAGAACATTTTATGAATCATGTCATGTGGCACACAGGTATGGCTTTTATTGCAAGGTTTTCAAAGATTTTGTCTATTAAAGTGACTTCAATCCTCTGTTTAACTTAAACTTCTAAATCTTTTTCCTTCTATCACATTGATTTAAGTTTTTGCTACTTTTTTATTTTATTTCCATACATTTTTGAGACTATTAATAAAAAGTAATTAATTGGTAATTGATAAAATCGTAATTGTCTTATGTAGTAATTATAATGCATTTAAGTAATCAATAAGTCTTATGATCATTTATCACTTTGATATTATTTCAGGATTGCTTTTAAGAACAGTTACAAAATGTAAATTAATATAAAACTTATTTTAAACATATTATTAATGTCCCTTTTGCAATTGTTAAATATAACAAGTTTTGTTATGTTGATTTCTTAAACTGATTTATTTTTTATTTTACATCCTTACTTTTGTTGTATGCACCCTTAGTATGGAACATCCAAGCCTGCACCTTAGTTATGGTTTAAGTGGTGCAGAAAGTAGAATTGAATGATTCAACTATTCACGTAACAAATATAAACAACAGTACCTAGATAAAAAGAATAGTCTACCAACATATTGTACTATAATAAACAACATTTGTTATATAATTCTTTCAATTTGGGGGATTTTAACTAAATAGTCTCTAGCAAAAGAATACAAATTCAAAGTAACATAGTTGCATCATTAAATTTTAACAGTTTATTTTCTGCCCCACCCAAATAGGTGAAACGCCGCATCATTGTCAAATATGTGGCAAGAAGTATACTAGGAAGGAGCATTTAGTCAACCATATGAGATCTCATACAAATGACACTCCGTTTCGATGTGAATTGTGCGGCAAGTCATTTACAAGAAAGGAACACTACACCAATCACATACTGTGGCATACGGGTCAGTATAGCTTTGATATTGTACAGCCAGTGTCATTATATGCCATGCTATCAAATGCAATCTTGTATATAATAATATAACCAACTTATAAATATAGGCTGTACAACTTTGGTGTCAGGCTTGGTTTTCCAAAGTTTTTTTACTGTAAATCAATATTATTTCCTAATTTGCATGTGTGCCTTTTAACATATTATTTTCATCCACATCCTTATCAACTTACTGCATAATGTTTTACAATAGCTTTAATAGTTCCTGCAGAACATAATCTTTACACCAGTTAAGAATATTTGCTGTATTAGCTTGGAAGACTGATCTAGTAGCAATTGTTGTATGTCTCTAATTTAAGAGTCTGTAGGTATATGTGACATCATCAGCTACTTGATTTTCTTCATTTTCCATAAAAGTCCACTGCCAGACTTGGACCTCTCCTATTGTAGAGAGGATTTGCCTTTATTGTTATACTTTTTAGGTAAATTGACTCACCACAGTGGAATACGTTTCACACCTCTGATCCTGCTCCTCATCAGTGTTGCCAGATTATTGAGTATTTTATTAGTATTGCAATGAGTAAATTCTATCTAAAATCTATGTGCTGTATTAACCTTTAAATACGTATAGTTTTAAGAACCAAAAGAGTAATGTACTAAACTACAATATGCAGTCAAATATATATTTTTTTCCTTTTTTTTTGGAACAAAAGGAAATAGGTATGATTATCATAATAAAATGAAGGAAATAATTGCCGATTACAACTATCCTTATTGTTTAACCAAATTTGAAAATGTAATAATTATATTTAAATTAATAATTATACATTTGCAGCTAACAAATCTCTATATATAAAAATCAATTAAAAGTTGAAAATGGCTCTCCCGAGTTTGATGAAATTTTTTGTGTGTATTTGAGTGAGTCCATAGATTAGAGAGCTTTGTACCGGTGCATTTAATGCAGTCGAAACTGGCTTGGCATAATGCCTTTTTGCAGAACTAGGCGGCTTGGTTAAAGGCTCTCTTCTTAAGGCACATTCGGAGCTTTGCGGTCTCGAGCATCGACCCAGGATAAGTACGGCATATGCTTGTGCTTTTAAGCACGAGCGCACTCGGCGTTGAACCATGGGTGAGCTTTACCACAAATGGGCACGTCAGCAAAGGGTATGAAATACTCCATCGCTTGACATGTCACATCGGTTATGGCATCCACGCAGCTGGACGGGTCTTCAGACGAGAAGCAGACCTGCCACCAAGGATGCAAAGAAATGCCGCATCACATGCCAATATGCTGATTTGTATCGCCACACTCGCCGTACACCGTGGAAATCGTAGTTAGGTGGGGAATATAACGACACAGATTTCACCAGACAGTGGTCAGAAGTTTCCAAGGGTGAGGTAACCTGAACATCGTACCTGTCTGGAACAGTCGTCAGCAGAAGGTCGAGGCAGTTGTCTGTGTGCCCACCCACACCAGGTACCTTAGTCGCTTGTGCCAGCTGAGAGCCCCAGCGACAAAGCAAAATTTCACGCCTTTCTCCCAGCGTGGTTGGTCTTCTGGTATGGGAACAGCCAGTCCTGATGACAGGCATTAAAGTCCCCCAGAAAAACGAACTGCATTAGGGTACCGATTTAAAGCCACATCAGAGGCTTCACTGAGGTGTTCAAACAGGCTAGTTGTCTCCTGGTCCCCGCTGTGTGATCGGTAGACACAAGAATAAATAATTTTATCCATTCCTGTGTCTATCCATACCCAGATCGTAGAGAAAGTGGGATTTTCAAGGTGACGGAGATGCTTACAGCAGATGTCGTTGCGGACGTAAACACACATTCCGAGGCGCTGATGGAAATTATACTCCAATATGCACCCAGGGTAGCCAAGGTACGCCGCATCTAGAGGACATCTGATCTGCGTCTCAGTCAAGAAGAGTAAGTGCGGCTTGTCAGTCTCAAGGTGGTAATGGACTGCATTGAGATTACAGTGCAGGTCTCTGATGTTTGTGAGGTGCACTTTGATGGAGAGGGAATGTAACCACTGTACAAACTTACTCTTCTTTTTCCTTTTTTTCATAAATTGTGGCAGGGAATGGCCGTTGGACGAGGCATCACACGTATAACCTAGGGACGCAAACAGAAACAAAGCATTGATGGTACCTAGCATGGAGAACGCACTAACGCCCGGTCGCCAACCGGCATGGTAGAGCCATCCCAGGATTTTTCGTAATATGGCGAGGCACCCTTTCATGAGTGAGTGGCTGGCTCATTAATTGGGCCCCCAACTTATCACCTGACACTTAAGCTTCGGTCACACACAGCAAACAATTCACTTTTTTTTTTATAGGATAGGGTGACAAACGAGCACACAGTCCATCTGATGGTAAGTGGTTACTGTGACCCATAGACATCTACATCCATCCTCAATAAAGACTCAAGATGCAGATGCGTTGTCACCCGTGAGGACTAAGATGGAAAGCCTCTTTGCCAGTAACAGGGGTCTCCGGTTCTCTACACTCACCATACGAAACACAGCAGCGTTAAGCTGCTATTTTACGCTGGTTTTCTGTGAGAGCGTGGTCCTTCCCCGGTCGAGCCGACCCATTCGTGCTACAACTATACTACTAATATAGCTGCAGCATGGCTCTACCAAAACTGCCTACCTGTCACACACAGCGAAGTACTACACGAGAATTATCTATAATATGTATCTTTTATATTTTTAAATTTACTTTTCAATTGCTCTTGGGTTGCTATTTCGTTTTTTTAAATTACTGTTATTTGTGTCAAACAACTACACATTTTTTCTATACATAGCCAAGAAACGAATTATATCGTAATTTCCCCATTTTAGAGAATTGTTTATCTCTTTATCTTTATGACCTACATACACGTATCATGCAGCAACGAAACGACCTATGTACAGGCGTGTAGTCTGGAGCAGAATGGCTACTCGCAGCGAGTACCCTGTCACACAGCGAATTCTCGCAGCGACTGCTCATTCGCAGAGAGTAAAATTGAACATGTTCAATTCAATTCGCAGCGAATTCAACTAGCGGCGAATGTATCTAATCGTAGCGAATATCCTGACACACATGCGAACTCTCGCTGCGAGTGGCTAATCACAGCGAGTATTCGCTATGTATGACCGAGGCTTAAGAAAAGGTCGCGTCGCCGTTCTTATGCGCAACGCATTTGTCCAGACCCATTCTCCCTTAGAAATGGGTTTCACCTATCATCATACTGGAACACGATTTGTATCATCTGGCGGTATGTCTTTGTCAGGTGGGTGGTAACTAACCCTCGGCCGGGCCTCTCACTAGTAGAGAACCAACCTACCACCACTACGTAGTGCTGCTCGTTTAGCACTACCCAGGGGATACGTGTAGGGAATCAGGATTCAAGTAATTCCTAAAGACGCGAGCAGCTTCATGCCCCACTGTAATGTTTTTTTTTTTATAGGAGAGGGGGCAAACGAGCATGCGGCTCATCTGATGATAAGTGACTACCGCCGCCCATGAACAACTGCAATACCAGGGTTATTGCAGATGCGTTGCCGGCCTTTTAAAAAGGAGTAGGCTCTTCTTGAAGGTCCCTAATAATAATAATAATAACAAAGTAGCGCCATCCCAGCCTGGAGAAGAAGGATTGAGGACCGTATCGTAAAGGCAAGGGCCCTCATCGGCAGGCTGATAAGCTTCAGGTCGGGCAATAATAGGCCGAGAATTGTGCGCACCGTCAGAATGGCGTTTGCTGGGACAAATATCAGTTTGTCCCAGCCGGATATAACGCAAAAACTGACGGAGCGCATAGACGACCTGAAGCAGAGAATCGCTGCTTGGGGGAAGCGGATTCGGCGATATACCGAGAGGTCGACACGGTTCAACCAGAATCGTCTCTTTCAGAGTGATCAGAAGAGGCTCTATGAATCATTGGAGCGGCCAATGGTACGTGGAACGGGCCCAGCACCGAATCAGGCCGACACTATCGCATTCTTGCGCGGCCTGTGGTCAGAGCCCGTAAACCACAGCGAGGGCCCTTCGACGGAAGTTGTGGCGAGTCAGTGTGCGAATATTACGCCCATGGACCCCGTCATCATAACGCCGGATGACGTAGTTGAGGCGGTCCGTAGGGCCCCGAACTGGAAATGTCCGGGGCTCGACGGGCTGCATCACTACTGGCTGAAGGGGTTCGTGGTGTGTCACGCTGTGCTCGCCCGACAGTTTCAAGAGGCTCTCAACCAGAAGTCGCTCCCGAGCCTCTTCACTACTGGGATCACTCATTTGGTTCCTAAAGATCAGGATACCACAGACCCGAGCAAATACCGCCCCATCACGTGTCTACCCACGATATACAAGACACTAACATCCATTTTGAGCGCGAGAATCAGTCGTCACCTGAACTCAAATCAGGTGATGTCGCGCGCTCAGAATGGATGTAGGGGCGGTGGTCGTGGAACCAAGGAACCACTCCTCATTGACGCGGTCATTGGCAAGGTGGTTAAACGCAACCGTCGGAACCTCTCCGCCGCCTGGATAGACTACAAAAAGGCATTCGACTCGGTGCCTCATGCATGGCTTAAGAGGGTCCTCGAGCTGTACAAGATTGACTGTACAGTTAGAGACTTCCTCGGGCAGTGTATGGGGCAGTGGAGTACGATCCTTTGTCATCTAGGCGAGCGGATGACGGCTGCGGAGAACCACATAAAGATAAGAAGGGGTATCTTCCAGGGCGATTGTTTGAGTCCAATCTGGTTCTGCCTCTCTCTTAACCCTCTCAGTACCTTACTGGAGGGATCCGGGAGGGGATTTCAGCTTCGGAAGGGAGGTACAAAAGTGACCCACCTTTTCTATATGGATGATCTCAAGTTATTCGCCTCCAGTCGCTCTCATCTTATGGTATTGCTAAACATCACTTGTGATTTTAGCAATTCTATTAGAATGGAGCTGGGGACGGATAAGTGTGCGGTCCTCCATGTTGAAAGGGGAAGGGTTGCTAACTCTGAGGGCATAGATTTATCTATGCCTATCAACATAAGGACCCTTTCCGAGGCTGAAACATACCGATACCTGGGTATGTCACAGAACATCGGTGTAGATGAGGCGGGTATGAAACAGTCAGTTTGCGATGTGTTTTATGCACGCTTGACCAAAGTACTTAACAGCCTTTTGTCCGGTGTGAATAAGACGCACGCATATAACGGTTGGGTCATGCCTGACTCATGTATACCGTTGGCATACTTAGGTGGACTCAGACCGAAATAAACGCTCTGGACAGAAAAGTCCGCACTATAATGACGTCCCACAGGATGCATCATCCGAGATCGTCAGTAATGAGGCTGTACTTGCCGCGGAAGCATGGTGGGCGCGGCTTTTTAAGCGCGCTTACCATGCATAATCGCGAAGTGTGCAGCCTCCGTAATTACTTTCTGACGAGAGCGGATGATCCATACTTTAGGGACGTTATTTCTTGTGATAAAGGACTTACCCCTCTATCCTTAGCCAACGAGCAATGACGGGACCCGGCACTACAGATCATTTCCGACCGGGAGACCGTATGGAAGGAGAAGGAGCTCCACGGGAGGTTCTAAAAGGCTCTACACGAGCTTTTCGTAGACACAGTCGCCTCCCTCCACTGGCTACGTTTCGGTGACCTCTTTGGGGAAACCGAGGGTTTTGTCTGTGCGATACAGGACCAGATTATTAAGACGAACAATTATCGGAGATACATCCTAAAGGATGGCACCGTCGACGTCTGTCGAGCTTGTCGCCATCCCGGTGAGTCACTTAGGCATGTTATCTCCGGTTGTTCGGTGCTTTCTAACTCTGAGTATTTGCACAGACACAACTTAGTAGCCAGGATTCTACACCAGGAGCTCGCTCTGAAATACGGTCTCGTGGATCGGAAACTGCCTTATTATAAATACTTGCCGGAAGCCGTACTCGAAAATGACCGCGCCAGGCTCTACTGGGACCGGGCCATCATCACAGACAGGACTATTCTTGCGAATAAGCCTGATATTGTGCTGATGGACCGGGCACAGTCAAGGATATTTTTGGTCGACATTACCATTCCTTATGACGAGAACTGACAAAATATCTGGACCTGGCTCACGAGGTGACCGACATGTGGGGTGGACTGCCGGCCGAAATTATACCTGTAGTCGTCTCTGCGAATGGGTTAATTCCAATCAGCCTCTCGGGTCATCTGAGGCGACTGGGACTCCGTGACGGACCGCTCCAAGCTCAAATGCAGAAGGCGGTGCTCCTCGATACCGCCCGCATCGTCCGCCGGTTTCTTTCCCTTTCCCCCTAACCCTCGGCCGTTTGGTCTCCCCTGCCGAGGGCTTCCATCTGGTTGGGTTTTTATATATTTATGTATTTTTTATGTATTTATTTTATTTTATTGATATTTATGTACGTTTACCATGATTATTTACAATTATATATTTATATTTCCCAATCAGATGAGAAAACTATATAGATACCACAAAATAATAATTATAATCTTTATTTGCGTAAAACATGGTATATATGTTGTTCACAGGTAAAAATCGAGCGCTCATGTTTTGCTTATTTTACATAGCCTGCAAATATATTTAAACAATGTCAAATTTTCTTTAACTATTTGAAGTACATTAGTCACCTGCTTTTGTTAACAAAGAGAAATAATATTATAATAATTAATTACATGTCAATTTCAATACCTAGTAATAGTCACACAGCTTAATCAAAGATATATTGTACAATACTATATTTTATTATTTTATATTTATTACTATAAATAATTTTTTTTTAATAAATGTTATCCAGTACATAATCTAATTTTTTTCTAAGAATTGTTTTACACTATAGAAATTATTTTCATTCAGCCATTTGTACAATTTCTTTTTGAACAATGTAATATTTAGAGTTTTAAGTTCGTCAGGGAGTTTGTTATACATTCGGACACACATGGTAAGGCAACTTTTGCCATATTTTTGTGATTTAGGTATATCCTTAAGTACTAGCTTGTGTAGGTCCCTACGTGAGTAAGTCCCTAAGTCGTATCGATCCTGAAAAATCGCTGGTGGTAATCGATTCCACAGGGAAGTTGTGCGAGGAAGAAAACATCTTCTAAATCACACAGTGGTGGACCAATTATCAGGATGGTATGGATGGTATCGCATGTCAATGTCATACTAAAAAATAAACAGAGAAGAAGTAGATGAGGAACATTGTAGATATTCTACACTTGGCTTATGGCCCTTGAATTTGGCGGATAGTAAGGAGAAAATAAATAAAAAAAACATTCGAAATATTAATCTCATACTATACTTACTGGTATGTACTAGTGCTACTAGAAACTATTGTAGTTATACTGCACTTTTTCAAAGTGGTGCGTTTCTCATGTCTAATAAAATGGTCGTTTGTGAAGTGCTTAGAGCAAAGATAATCATTTTGTTTTGGACGCCAATTCACAATGTTTGTGCTTTTTAGCAATAAATTTATTATAGGTTCAGTTGGAAATCTATTAATTAATAAACATTTGATAATTATTTGTTGTCGGCGACTTTGGTTGTTGACAGATATGGGTAGAAAAAACATCGATAAGTATTATAGACAAGGAACTCGACAACTCTATTGAATTTTATTTTTTATCAAAACTCAGTAATATAAAGCCAAACATGTTGGTAATTACGATATTAAGATTAGTAACAAATTTTTAAGTACCTATATTATCTAATTGTTTTGATTTGTTTAATATTAACTGTTAAATTCACTTTCTTGTGGAATGTTATCCCACTTCCCTTTTGGTAACGAGTTTTACATATTACGCACATTCTTTATTACTAAAAATAATTCTTATTATGTAACTAAAATGAAACAAACCACATAAAACACTTTCATTTGTTAGTTTAAAAGTCCAAAACATAGAGATACTATTTAAATAACACGACAGACTGTGGCATATTATGTCAATTTTAGTTTCCAGTATGGACTATGTGGGTGCTTCAAATTGGCGTAAGCATTTTGTATGGTATAGCCTGTCCAGCGTACTTGTATATTATATAGAGGTCAGTGAGGTATACATATTATTTTATTAGCGGCCTAAGATTTCTAAAATGGATAACTTTGTATTGCAGGTGAAACACCGCACCGGTGCGACTTCTGTTCGAAGACGTTCACGCGCAAGGAGCACCTGCTGAACCACGTGCGGCAGCACACGGGCGAGTCGCCGCACCGCTGCAGCTTCTGCTCCAAGTCCTTCACTCGCAGAGAGCATCTCGTCAACCACGTCAGGCAACACACTGGTGAAACGCCCTTCCAGTGCGGATACTGCCCTAAAGCGTTCACTCGAAAGGATCACTTGGGTAATATTTTTCTCAATGCTTTTTTTTTTATAAATTTTGATGTAATTTGCATTAAATAGCCCAACATGTTTAAAATGTTTATATTACAAAAATTATCAAGTTCATAGTAACTTGTTTCTGTAACACTGTATCTAATAGAGGCTCTCCATTTAGAATAGAGTCCCATTAAACTAATAATTTCCTATAGACCAAATTTCGGTCCAGGTGGCTCATCTCAACGGAGACTAGCCATCTGTGCAGGACAGAATAAGTGCACAACAAACAGGTGCACTCTATTTCCCCACTTTCATAAAAACTATACTGCATATTATGAGATTTCAACCTGAGTACCTTTCTACCGGGAGCCATAATGTCATCTAATTGGCAGTTGACACTTTATCTATCTTATCCATTGGGCATTGTCAGATCCTTTAATTCTCTCACTTGTTTCATCCACGCTTCAAAAATGTAGAGAACATCCCTTTCCTTAGCTGGCTGGGTGCTTTTCAGCTTATTTATAAAACCAGCAGCATAAATAAATTGTATTAATAACATGATTATTTCCGGCATGAACCACCTTGAGTTAAGCCTAAGTTTGGTAGTGGACTGCCAACAGGCAATGACAATGAATATTATGGCTAATAAAATATATGGTTGATTGTTAATAACAACTTATTGATAAAACTGTAATTAAAATCAACTATGTTGTTGTGAAACTACTGTTTAGTAAATTTTAAATTATCAAAAATTAATTTGTTTAATATTTTTACAGTAAACCATGTTCGACAACACACTGGAGAATCACCTCACATATGTTCATATTGTACAAAGTCTTTCACGCGCAAGGAACACTTGACTAATCATGTCCGTCAGCACACCGGAGAGTCGCCGCATCGCTGCACCTATTGCGCTAAATCTTTCACAAGGAAAGAACATCTTACTAATCATATCAGGTGAGTAAACTATAGTTTCTTGATAGATTGAAGTGCTTCAGTATTATGCCATAGTAATAAAACCATGACTCACCTTTTTACTTTTCTTATATTAGTACAATTGAATAAAATTACTTAAGCATTTCTTTCTGTCTGTGTACACCACGGTATACATTTTGTCTCAGATTTGTGTTTTGTTAATTATTTTACGCCCATAATCATAATTTTTCTTTGTACTTCTTTGTGTGTCAATCAATAGACAATGCTGTGCTACATACTGCTCTAAACCCTTCAATCAACTTCCTTCTATTAGATTAATTAAACCAAATTATCTGGGCATGTGTCTAGTAGTTTGCATGTATTTGGCATGTTTTTTCTATTGTTGTTATTGTAAAGGCGCGTTCCTATAGTAATTTCAAGTTAAACACAGCAGTATGTCATCAGGCCCATGCCTTGTTACGGTTCAATAGTATATCCCAAAAACGGCATTTGTGTGAAGTTTCTTTTGAATGCAACATTGCGGTAGCACAGCATTGTGCATTCCGATTTGAACTTTTATTATGGAGTGAAATATTTACCTACCCTTCCTGTATTGCTTATTGCAAATATTCCTAACAGAGACTTGCTTAGCAAAAGTAATGAATAGACTGTATTACAATTCGCTTTCGAAAGGTAAATGATATATGTGATAATAAATAATGGACTTGCTTTAGATAAGTTCTCTATTCCAGAGCATTCTCAGTATTGAAACCCTAAGCTCTGTTAAGGGACAAACGAAAAACAAATATACTAATAGTCTGATACAATACAGTTCGTAATTTAGACCCGATGAGGCACTATAATTATTAATAATGAATGCGCTCGATGAAGCAACTTAATGTTTAGGCACAAGATTCAAATCGGAATGTACTCTGTTGCGCAGACAGCACACGGGCGAAACTCCACACAAGTGCACGTACTGCTCGCGCGCCTTCTCGCGCAAGGAGCACCTCAACAACCACATCCGGCAGCACACCGGCGACACGCCGCACTCTTGCTCCTATTGCAACAAGACCTTCAAGCGCAAGGAGCACCTCGTCAACCATGTTCGGTTCGTATGGGCACACGTTTGTGGAAGCAATATTAATTAGTTAACCGTCTAGACCAGAATTCCCCAAACTTTTAAGGTAATGGAACACACAAAATCCCTTTTATCTTATGGAACCTCATATCCAATATTTACATGTAAACAGTGCAATTGAAATATATAATATAATTCTCGGTAACTACACCTACGTACCTACATAAATGTAATGGTATCTTATCTTATTTTGCGCTATTTCAAAATAATATATTGTGAAATTATTTAACAAGCACAAGTAAATAATTTCGCGGAACCCTGATGATTTTTCAACGGACCCTTAGGTTCCGCGGAACCCACTAGGAATCTCTGGTCTGGACTCGATGAACAACACACTGTTTTGAATTTAAATTAAATATTTACATAACAAACTTAACAAAGCAATAGGTAATCAATTCTATTGTATTCTATTTTAATGTGTGTAACACAATATTTCCAAGGTTACTAACTAATTTTACCCATCAATTTTATAGAAACATTCAGTGTTCCTATATAAATAATAAAATAATTCCAATTTTTTATATAAAGTGGAATACTATAATAAGAAAATATTACCTATATGGTTTCTCTGCTCATGTCCTTGTGCAGAAGTGACGTTTTATTAGAAATGAATTTTCGGGCATTAATTAACTCTTGTGCCATGCTGTTCTGCCTCCTTGGGCAGTTAGTATAATCACAGAATAAATAATAGTTAAAAGAACAGAAGGCTCACTCTCTGAGAGCAAACTTGCAAGTTTGAACTTAATTACAACGTCGCTAATGTTCATAATCTTTTGCACGCCTGGAAGTGACCTTCGTGAACTTGGCCTACAGTTTATTTCGTCGAAAAAAATTTATTGTGACGCGCGTATTATAGCAAAATGCACCTTAAGCGCCCGTATGCTATGCAGTACTTTTTGGCTATACTTGAATAAAAACTCAAAAATAAATATCCAAAGTGCCTAAATACTTATTAAAAAAAATATTTTTTATGTTAACGTAAGGCGCCCCGTCAGCTCGAGCGGGCGCGTGACAACCTCACAGAATTTGCCCCGCACGCGGGGACGCGTAGCGTAGGTATATATTTTCATGCCTAAAGCGCGGAGTGAGACAGGCCTGGTATAATTACCATTTATTAAACCATATTATATTACCAACACAGTCTTATAGGATGTTTCGAAAAGTATTATGCAAAATAGCGTAAAAATTTCATTTATTTTGAAAAATTACATCATTTTGATTGCCCATATTATCAAATTATATCAGGCAATTAGTCTTAATTAACCTAAAAAAGGAGCTTATCAATTAAACTGTACTTTTTAATAAATCTGTTTTAATTTTAATTTATCGTTATACCATTTTATTTATTTTTGTGTGTTATTGCATATCATTTTATTTATACTCTGTTTCTAAACCACTTTCCTAAGTACATTAGCAGTGTTTGTATATTGTTAATCTACAATGAAACTAATTTTTTATACTAGTGTAAAAATCTTTTAATATTGCTTCCACAAAAGTAACAGTCACTTACTTTTTAAAATGAAGTTATGTATTACCAGACAAAATCATAGCAAATAACGAATTCCCCATATTTTTAAAATTAATAATTGCATTTTGATCAGAACTCTGAGCTTTATTATGATAATTAAAAATTATTATTATTTTGTTATTTGCTCCTGACTGGACTATAACTTTTTAATTAAAATGTGTTTACCACAGACAACATACGGGTGAGACACCGTTCAAATGTACATATTGTACAAAGGCGTTCTCGCGGAAGGAACATCTGACGAATCACATTCACCTTCACACTGGAGAAACACCACACAAGTGCCCCTTCTGCACCAAAACATATTCCAGGAAGGAACATTTGACCAACCATGTCAGGTGATATTTTCATTTTATTTTGCATAATTAATAATTATAATAATATTGCTTATGCTTCTCGCTACAATATCAAAAGGTAGCACCAGTTTGTGTAGTTTTTGTTCATAAATAATATTCTCATTTGATTGTGCATAATGATTATATTTATTATGTTTTCAAAATATAAGTAAAGACTCATTGTTATAAATGGTTATTTTTCAAAGAGTAACCAAATTTTAAACTTAATTCATATATATATATATATATATATATATATATATATATATATATATATATATATATATATATATAAAATAAAAGAGAATATGAGTAAATAAGGCTTCTACTTTTATTTGAAATTATCTCAAATTGAATGTGATTTATGGGCATCAACTACGAGTACAGGCACTCCTCTGTGTGTGTGATTTAGTTCACAACCTTGTTGCCGACCGATCGACCCTTGCGAATGTGTGCGTGCGTGTTAAAATAATGCATTATCATTACCACGCATTTTGAATTTAAAAGATAAAAAGGACAATGTTTGACATTTTTTTAACTAATTTTTCTTCACCATTTGCCTATATTACTTATTCTGAACCTTTGCTGCAAATTTGGCAAAATAACCCTTTATATTTCTCGCTGAGCATAAATCAAGTTGTATTTAAATTTGTAATGATGAATTTTATTTCTTGATTTATTTTATAAAAATAATTCTGTTATTATGCATATCTAGAGGCATCAATGCCACAAGGTTATATAATTAATTAATGTGTGTAGTATTAGGTTATAATCTGTGGAATTATCATTTTCTAATATTTAATAATTGAAAATGGTTGTTTATTTGTTTCTTAGTCATTTGCTTGTGTTGATTTGAATATATGATTAAACAGACGAGCAAGTATTCTGAGTTATTCATTTTATTTAAATTAATAATATCACCTTGTACAAAAAGCATAATTATGTACATATATTATTAATTTTAAAAAGCAGTATCAAAAAACTCTTGTTTGCTTTAAATGCTTATCTATGAGATCTGAGTTCAAAAATTTAATACGAAAATACAAACAGAAAGATGCTATAATTATATTCTTATTTGTTATTAGTTTACAAGCAGAGATTTCTTAAAAAAGTTAAATAAATAATTTTAAATGCTATGAAACTGCACAAAATAATTTTTTTATTCAGTTTCATTTATTTAACTATACCAGGATACATACGGGTGAATCGCCACATCGCTGTGAATTCTGTGATAAGACATTCACAAGGAAGGAACACCTTACCAACCATTTAAAGCAGCACACTGGAGAGACTCCGTTTCACTGCAAAGTCTGCTCCAAACCTTTCACAAGGAAGGAACACCTTGTAACGCATATGAGGTAAGGAAGAATCTTATCCTTTTGCATCATATAATACCTAATATTTACTTTCCATTATCAATGCATGTAAAACGATATCTCCTATGTCAGTTAACTGATTTTATTATTTATGGTAACTACCGAATGGACTGTAATGATAATGATGATGATTGTGATCTTACTTTTAGAAATAAAGAGTAAAAAACAAAAAACATATCATACAAGCATTCAAGAGTTAAATAAAGTGATCTCCATCCCTTTTTCTTAGTTACTATTCTTTTTTTTTGTGTGTGCTACCTCGCAACATTTTTCTTCATGAACCGATTTTGATGATTCTTTTTCTATTTGAAAGCTGGTGCTTCCCATGTGGTCCCATTTATATTTCATCAAGGTCTGACCAGTAGTTTTTGAGTTGTCCTTAATAATTTATATTGTAGTCGGTTGTACAAAATTTTTAATTTTACCACTTGATTTGGCTCACATGTAATAAATTTCTCAGGGCCCATAGTTGCGGGGAACGACCTTACAGTTGTGGAGAATGTGGCAAATCATTTCCATTGAAAGGAAACTTGTTATTCCACGAACGATCACATCAGAAAGGTGGCAGTGGAAGCAAATTTAGGTGTGAAGTTTGTTCAAAGCACTTCATTTGTAAAGGTATGAATATTTAGATATTTGATAAATTATACTGTGGAGAAGGTAATATTTAAATATAGTTTGGTAAAATTATTCACACACATAGTATGGTTGAAATTTAGACAATCAAATTTGCGAGCTTTCCGAATCACATGGGTGAAACACCGCTAATTTTCTACTTGCTACTGAGCCTAGAATTTCTTGACAGAAAACCCCAATAAGTGCGTGCGGCACTGTCGATAAAAGAGGGAACAGCTACCGCTGACGCATTGGCAGCGCCGTTAGACACGCTATCATTGAAGTCAATTTTAGTACAGTCGGGAGGCAGTAGCAAAATGGATTTCGAAAAAGAAACACTATTATTGCCTTTATTCCGTCGACACAAATGAGAAAAAACATTACTTGTGAAAACTGACAAATTTTTTATTCTCTATTAACTTAAGGTGAAAGCGCCAGGGTAACCCGCGAAATTCAAATTTTCTTACGTTTTTTCATAGATAAGAGTGTATATACGGAAATAGACAAGAATCTCTAACGTAAAAGATTGCTGCGACAACAGCGCCGCCTGGAAGCTAGTTTATTAACTACTACTGCAACTATACAACGTGTCCCAAAATTCAACGATAAGCCAACACCGGAGGATAGACCTGCCCCGGACTAATCGGGTAAAAAAAGAAAAAAAAATATATCCCAATTATATTTTAAGTTATATAAAAAAAATGAAATTCTTCAGAAATTGAGACCGTTTATGATATTTTTCACTACCATGACCACAATTTTTTAAATATTTTTTTCTTTTTTTTTATAGGCAACCTGAATAGTACTGCTATCTACCACAATTCTTAAAAACTCCAGAATAACTCTTGTTTTATCACGAAAATTAATGAAACTTATTTTATTCCCTAAATTTTTTGAAGACTTTTACTTTTAACCAAATTTAACTTATCGTGGTGTAAAAAAAAAGTATGAACACTAGTATGGCAAGTTTTTTTTAAAAATTGACGCAACTAACCAATATTCCAAAATGGTATAATACTCTAGGAAAACAAGTTATAAAAAAATATGGGCCTATTATTTCTTAACAGGGGCCAAATTCCTTAAATTGTAATTGTCAGTAATCACTTTTACTACATGCCCAAAATGGGTTCCTGTTACAATTTCTAGGAATTCGAATGGGGCATTAATACCTTAGATGTTAGAGAGAGATAGATAGATAGAGATATTTACGTTAAAAAGAGACAACAACAGGGCAGGTAGAGAAGCTGTTATTATTCTCAGCAAGTCGGTTCAGTACGCTCTGCTCCTTTGTTTACTGCGCACCGTACCCAATTCAACTTACGTGGCCCTCGTACATACTATCGACTTTTGGCTTGGCTTTTTGGACTGGAATCGACCTGCAAACTTAACTGACCTGGCATTATTTGGACTGGAAGTGATCTGCAAACTGAACTGACCTGGCATTATCTTGGACTACGATTGTGTGTTTTGTGATTTAGAGTTCTGGCGCATTTTGGACTGTTTGGCGTTTAACATGCCGCAACCGTACACACCACAGGAATACGCTAATATGCATTTAATCTATGGAGAATGCCGATGTAATGCTAACGCTGCTAGCAGACTGTATCCAGAAAGATACCCAAATGCTCAAAGATATCCTGATTATCGAGTGTTTATTAATGTGCATCAAGCGTTTTCGGAGGGTCGTATGTAGAGATGAAACGGATATCCGGTAACTATCCGGTATCCGGCCTATCCGGCCCAAATTACTATTCGGCCGGATACCGGATAACAAACTGCTATCCGGCCGGATACCGGATAAAAAAATACAAAATATCAAATTTAGTTAAGTACTTTATTTAGGTCACTTAACAAATAGAATCAGTAATCACAAAATTTTCATTTTAAATCTTAGATATTTAGTACTCGTACTGCACTAAGGGCAAATTATAGAGAATAAATACTAGTTTCTCCGCATTGAAAGATAACAAGCGGTTTCGCCTGTCTTCATAAACAAGGCCAGCTTCAGAAAAAAGTCTTTCGCTGTACACACTGCTGCAGGGTGCTGAAAGATAGATTTTGGCAAACTTCGATAAATTGGGATATTGTGTAGCATTAGCTGGCCACCAAATATAAGGGTTACGATCGCGAGCAATTCGCACTGACTTTAGATACAAATCAATTTTGTGAAATCTCGTTTTTTTCCTCATAGTAGACTGGCTAGTATTATTTTCATTTCCAATTTCTAGGATTGTTTCAATGAAGCAATCCCAGAACGTGTAATGAGCTTCGCGAGATACAGCTGACTCTGTCTCCTCTCCTCTACTTTTTTAGCCGGTGTTGTCGATGAACTGGAGGACTCTTCGCTAGTAGACATTTTTAAGTATTTCAGTAGAATTTCCTGGCAAGCTCTTTCAGCTTCAACTACGTGAAATTTTAACATTGCATAGTAAACAAACAGCAAGCTTAGGATCACCACTGTCTATATCAAAATGTTCCCATAAAAGCGATCTTTCCTTTATCGATGTCATTTTGTCGTTAAATTTGTTAAGAATTATAAAAATCAAATAACAGAGCATGTATTTTAATAACCTCAAACGATCGTGTTTGCAATCAATAGAAGTCAATGAACCAATTGCTAACTTCGCTCATGAACGAAAAGACCCGAAGTCGCCCGAGTACCGCGTGCACACGATCATCACCACTAGCGCCACCTACGCAACTCCGCTGCTTGCGATTCACTAAACGGCAATGTTCGGCCGAATATCCGGCGGCCGGATATCCGGCTATCCGGCGATAAGACTGGCCGAATATCCGATATCCGGTATCCGGCCAAACAGCTATCCGTTTCATCTCCAGTCGTATGCCATCCAATAGGAGCAGCGCTGGAAGACCTAGATTGGATCGTGATGAAGAAGTTCTCAAGGAGATAGAAAATGACTCGACTACTTCGGTACGTGCCATAGAAGAAGCTACAGGAATCCCGAAAAGTTCTGCACATCGAATATTAAAACGTCACAAGCTTCACCCATATCACTACAGGCGTGTGCAGACGTTATTACCGCGGGACTATCCGCTACGGGTCACATTTTGCCGTGTAATGCTGCAAAGGCACAGTGAAGATCCCCACTTCCTAGACAAAATTCTATGGTCGGATGAAACAACGTGCAAGAAAGATGGGTATTTAAATCTTCACAATCTACATAGTTGGAGTAATGAAAATCCACACTTGATGAGACAAGACAAATCCCAATATCAATTCAAGGTTAACCTATGGACCGGCATATTAAATGGAAAAGTAATTGGGCCCTTTGAGTTACAAGGAAACTTAGATGGCAATAGTTATTTAAACTTTTTACAAAATGACTTGCAAGAATTGTTAAACGACGTGCCCTTAAGTGATCTTCAAAACATGTGGTTCCAAAATGATGGTTGCCCAGCTCATTATGCCCGTCCTGTGCGAGAATATTTAAATCAAGAGTATCCAGGGCGTTGGATCGGGCGACTTGGTCCTATCTTATGGCCACCCCGTTCACCCGATTTGAACCCCCTGGACTTCTTCTATTGGGGTTGTCTTAAAAACAGGGTCTACTCAAAACCCATTGTGACATTGGACGAGCTTCGTCGAAATATCACTCAGGCTGCTGATTACATTAATAGCAGAAGATATGCAAGACAAATAAAACGATCATTTTTAAGGCGATGTCGTGCATGTATTAATGCTGGTGGCAAACAGTTCGAACATTTGCTATAATGTTAATAACTTAATAAATTACACGTGAAACTGTTTGTACCATTTGTTTTGAAATATTAAACATTTTTCAAGAAATAATACTTTTATTACACCCGACCGTCATTTGGCCCCTGTTAAGAAATAATAGGCCCATATTTTTTTATAACTTGTTTTCCTAGAGTATTATACCATTTTGGAATATTGGTTAGTTGCGTCAATTTTTAAAAAAACTTGCCATACTAGTGTTCATACTTTTTTTTACACCACGATAAGTTAAATTTGGTTAAAAGTAAAAGTCTTCAAAAAATTTAGGGAATAAAATAAGTTTCATTAATTTTCGTGATAAAACAAGAGTTATTCTGGAGTTTTTAAGAATTGTGGTAGATAGCAGTACTATTCAGGTTGCCTATAAAAAAAAAAGAAAAAAATATTTAAAAAATTGTGGTCATGGTAGTGAAAAATATCATAAACGGTCTCAATTTCTGAAGAATTTCATTTTTTTTATATAACTTAAAATATAATTGGGATATATTTTTTTTCTTTTTTTACCCGATTAGTCCGGGGCAGGTCTATCCTCCGGTGTTGGCTTATCGTTGAATTTTGGGACACGTTGTATATAACTACAGATATTTTCTATACCTGTTCTGTATAGGTACTACTTTTATATTCTTATTTTTACTATTTTGTCGATTTCTAAATAACAATAAAAAAACTGTGTTATTTAGAAATCGGCATAAATACTCTCGATAAATTGTGGGACAAAAAGAAAGATTTTCAGTATTGTTAACATTTTTATTTCACAATTTGAAATGATATGTTGAAAATAAAATTCTAACAAACGTGAGATGTTATAAAGCCATGTTGTCTGCACATATGTAAAGTAACTAACTACAAACCATCATAAAAATTAAAGGGATGAAATTAACATATTATTTTATAACTCTTATTATATTTATGTCACTGCACCAATTACAAAGTCTACCTTAAAGCACATTCTTGACGCAAATACATAACTCGACGCAAATACACAAGCAATAGCGATAAAACACTCAAAAATATGAAATCACAAGAAATAAGCACATGCACAAGACGACGGACATATTTTTTTTTTATTTCATTCAGTGCTGCCTAATGAAACGAAGCTAAAACTTCTATTTCTTACTATTACTACTTCTTCGTGACAAAGCCCGATTTGACGTTTCTCGTTATAATTGCCGTGATAACTTAGTATGAATGTCTACGTAAGAAATCGAAAAATCAAATTCACAATCCTAAATAATTACTATGTTAT